GACCCGGACATAAGTACTTCCTTCCATTTGACAGGAAACAGAAGGGGAGAAGAAGCAAGTTACATGAAATCGCAAGGAAGTAAACAGAATGCAAGCAGTCTGTAGCATAAGCCATGGGTGTCTTTTAACAAGGAAGGGAATGAAAAAGGGAAAAGGACACAGGAGTGCTGCAGACGGACACAGACAGGAAACATCACAAAAGGCACTGCATGAACCATATTTGGACCCTAATTCAAATATTTTGTAAACAGGGATATGTGAATACGGACCTGGTATTAGGCAACACCAAATAATTGTTCATTTTGCTAGGCGGGACATTAGCATGGTTGTTATGTAAGAAATCATCAATTACTCTTACCTATACTGAAATGTTTGAATTGTAAATGTCATCTGCTTCAAAATACTTCAGCAGGGCTGTATGTAGTGATTCATGCCCATAATCCACAGCACTTTGGGAGGCTGAGGGGGGAGGATTGCTTGAGGCCAAGGAGTTTGAGACCAGCCTGGGCAACATGGCAAAACCCCATTTATACGAAAAATACAAAAAAAAGTTTAGCCAGGCATGGTGGTGTGCGCCTGTGGTCCCACCTTCAGAGGCTGAGGCGGGAGGATCGCTTAACCCTGGGAGTCTAAGGCTGAAGAGAGCCATGATTATGCTACTGCACTCTAGCCTGGTCAAAAGAATAAAACTCTATCTCAAAACAAAAAATGAAAAAAACAACTTCAGAAACAGCAACAACAAAAAAGACTAAAAAAAAATACGTGGGACCAACCCTTGTCAACTACTGAATTGGCTCACTGCAACCTCCACCTCCTGGGCTCAAGCCATCCTCCCATCTCAGCCTCCTGAGTAGCTGGGACTAAAGGTGCATGCCACCATCCTCAGCCAATTTTTTTTTTGTATTTTCTGTAGAGACAGGATTTCATCATGTTGCCCAGGCTGGTCTCAAACTCCTGAGCTCAAGTGATCCTCCCGCCTTGGCCTCCCTAAGTGCTGGGTTTACAGGTGTGAGTCACCTCGCCCAGCTGAGAACTGTTTTTGAAGTACCACAGGGGATTCTGATGTAATCTAGTACGTTCCCTCCGCCAAATCTGTTGTCCAGCAGGGCATGTGTTCCAAGCCCTCAGGGACAAGGATCACCCAGGATTCCACACTGTCACCGCCACATCAGGCCTAAGAGTATTCTTCACTTTCAGAAGAAAATTTAAAATGGGATAGCTAATTCACTACATACCGCTTGCAAGGCTTCAATTTTTCCATTCAATTTAAGGTGTTTCTCACCAAAATTCAGGTGCATTTAGTCACTGTGTTGAAGCCAACTTCAGCGTGGGAGCTCCTGCCAAATAAAATCTCCAGGGAAAAAATAAGTTTACCCATAGAGCTAAAGGAGCTTTCACCGGCAAAGTATCAGGGAGAATGCCATAGTAGCAAACTCCAAGTGATGGGGCCAGGTCAATGCCCTAAAAGGACCCGGGTGTACCTGAGCACACCTGGGCGTCTGCGCCTCTCACAGCAGCCATCAGCTGGCCCGGGGGAACCCAAGAAAGAGGAGAAAAGTGGAAAAACTCACACCCTTTGCTTTGTTCTCACAGAATGGCAAATGCTGGGAACAAACTCCCAACCACAAAACTGACTGGCATTTGATCAGAAACATGTCAATACAGGTCAGGACGGCTGGGAAGCCAGAACTGAACGTTTCATAACATTAACAATCTCAAGTCTTTAAAATCCTTCTCTTGCAACAGGTGATATCCGCATTTATTTGGATTGACAACCTTCACCCCTGGAACATGTGACTCCCAGAATCCAGTAGTGGGGGGTGGCATGGGGGAAGAACAGCTCCTCCCAGTGCACCCAACACCTACTTGTCACTCCCAAAGCTGACTGATGAATAATCCTCCGAAGTCTTGCTGCACACATTGGCGATGGTCTTTTCTAACATCTCAGAGTAAGCATTTGCTAAATTACTTTTATGTGGACCGGCATTATGTCAAACGCCAAGACTCAGGCATGCAGGAACTTGCAGACTCGTTTCATACCAAACGAAACGCCCTGTTTGTTGCTTCATCACTGCTACGTGGCTTTGGGGGACCTGAGCAGTTCTCCGTCTAGAATTGCTTTCGAAGACTTTCCCTTTCTTGTCATAAAGATCCACCGATACAGAAGCTTTAAATACCACAGACTTGGTTCTTTATAGAGGAGCAGTGAATGTCCTCTAAGCTCAAAGAATAATCTTAAAGCACTCAACAGGGCTGGGCACGGTGGCTCAAACCTGTAATCCCAGCACTTTGGGAGGCCGAGGCGGGTGGATCACGAGGTCAAGAGATGGAGACCATCCTGGTCAACATGGTGAAACCCCGTCTCTACTAAAAATACAAAAAATTAGCTGGGCATGGTGGCGCGTGCCTGTAATCCCAGCTACTCAGGAGGCTGAGGCAGGAGAATTGCCTGAACCCAGGAGGCGGAGGTTGCGGTGAGCCGAGATCGCGCCATTGCACTCCAGCCTGGGTAACAAGAGCGAAACTCTGTCTCAAAAAAAAAAAAAAAAAAAAAAAAAAAAGCACTCAACAAAGCCAACTCCAGAGGTGGCTCTCTGAATGCCCAACCTGAGATATGGAGGGAAGGAAACAGCGCTTCGTGGTCATGGAAATTCCTCTCCCTGATTAAAGAGACACACTTTGATGGTTACAGCTACACAAAAATAAGGACCTAGGGAGGAGGGGCCCAGTAACTTATAAATATTCACATCTGCACACTCGACCCAGGCATCATCTGCACCAGTGATCAAAGTAAATCTCTCGTTAGTGCCCACATCTTTCCTCCCAGGCAACACCCCTCCCCAAACCCTGCGTCCCCATCCCCCACCTCCAACAGAAACTTTGAGTGAAGAGCATTTGCACGCAACCACGTCCAATTTGAGCAAGGAGAAATACGGCTGGGCCACTTCCTGATTCATACTCTCCCATGCCAAAGACAAGGAGAATATTCTCAGGCTCAAGATTCTACTTCAAACAGTGACCTGCTGCCAGAGAGAAAGAAATTAAACGCCCCAGCCCCGCACAGCGCTGACCTCACACAGTGGTGGTCCTGTACCCAAACCTGAACTGCAAAAAGAGGGAGACCCAGAGCCCCAGCTACACACAGCAGCATTATTCACACAACACACAAAGTGGGAAGACGCAGTCACACGAAAACTTAGCAGAGGGAACGTTTTCTGGCAGCTTATCTTAACTGTAGCCGATCACTTTTCAGGACTCAAAGTCAGAGCATAATTTTGTTTTCCACTTCTTAACAATTGCCCAATTTCTACTGAACCTATTATATTCCTTAAAATAAAAATAGGCCAGGTGTGGCGGCTCATTCCTGTAATCCCAGCACTTTGAGAGGCCAAAAGTGGGTGCATCGCTTGAGCCTTGAAGTTTGAGACCAGCCTGGGCAGCATGGTGAGACACCATCGCTATAAAAAGTATAAACATTAGCCAGGTGTGGTGGCACACACCTATGGTCCCAGCTCCTTTGGAGGCTGAGGTCGGAGGATCACTTGAGCCCAAGAGGTCAAGGCTGCAGTGGGCTGTGATCAAACCACTGCACTTTAGCCTGGGTGACAGAGTGAGACACTGGTCTCAAAAGAAAGAAAAGAAGAGGCCAGGAGCGGGGGCTCATGCCTGTAATTCCAGCACTTCGGGAGGCCGAGGCGAGCGGATCACGAGGTCAAGAGATTGAGACCATTCTAGCCAATGTGGTGAAACCCAGTCTCTACTAAAATACAAAACAAATTAGCTGGATGTGGTGGCGCATGCCTGTAGTCCCAGATACTTGGGAGGCTGAGGCAGGAGAATTGCTTGAACCCAGGAGGCAGAGGTTGCAGTGAGCCGAGATTGCACCATTGCACTCCAGCCTGGCGCCTGGCAACAAAGCAAGACTCTGTCTCAAAAAAAAAAAAAAAAGAAAAAGAAAAGAAAAGGAAAGGGAGAAAAAGAAAGGAAGAAAGAAAGAAAGAAAATTATTAAAATTCACTGACCATATATAAATTTCACTGACCCTGAAGTGTAAACTAAGGCTTTAAAGCAGGGTTCCCAACTGGGGGCTGTGTGCCAGTCAGTGGCCAGTCAGGAACTGGGCCACACAGCAGAAGGTGAGCATCGCCTCCTGTCACATCAGGGGCAGCATCAGATTCCCGCAGGAGCACGAACCCTACTATGAACTGTGCAAGGGACGGATCTAGGTTGCGTGTTTCTTATGAGAATCTCATGCCTGATGATCTGAAGTGGAACGGTTTTATACCGAAACCATCCCTCCCGGCCCTCCACAAAATGAGACCCTAGTGCCAAAAACACTGTGGGGACATCTGCTTTAAAGTCGATACTCAACCTTTTAAAGTCAGTCTCTAATAGGACCCTTACTCTGACCCCAAAGTTTCAAAGATGTCACTTATACAGACACCAGATTTCATGACAGTCACCTGGGCAACTTATGTCTGTTTGGTCTTAGAGTATAAGTATGCTCAAGTCTCTTCCCAATGTTCATCACTGTCCACTTATTCCAGAACACTGGAGAAATTTCCTTTCTCCTAGTTCATATTCAGGGAAAAGAAGAAACACCATTTTTTTCTAGCCCGTGGTAGCAATTTTTCTCAAATATATATATACACATACTTCATGATTAATGGCTGCCCTTGGAATACCAACCTTTGTTAAGACTCTAAAACCAAAATGACCCATCCACATTGAGGAAGGAAAACTGACAATCAATCAGTTCTGCAAACCACCGTTCTATCGTTATGGAAACCCTATCGGTGGGAAACCCTCACACAGTACAAACACCAATAAACAGTACATAACTCATAGGCTTAGGGAAAGGAAGTTCCTCAAAATCATCTAAATGAATCAAATAGAATAAAACCTACTTACAACTGCTACTACAATGTAGTAAACAGAAATTCATTTTTAATAAATTTTTTAAAAAAATAAACCCTTGGGCTCTAGACACAGAGACTTACCTGACTCCTCTCCTTGTCTACTTTCTTAAAACACTTATTCAAAGACAAATTGTGTCTCACTGAGTTTTTCCACCCAGTAGGTGCATTTGCAAAATACGGAAAATGTTCCAAGATCCAGTTGTAGATATCCTTCACTGGCAGGCGCTTGGTTGGAGAGTCCTCGATGGCCATAAATATGAGGCAGCTGAAGGAGTAGGGGGGTTTGCAGTTAGGGTTCTGCCTGGCATCGTAGGGCATGTCGGAGTGGGCGGGGGACGGGGGGGTGTCGTCGTCCAGGTCCTGGACGGGGCTGACACTCCTGAGGACCGACTCCCCAAAGCTCTTCAACAAGTTCTTGCTCTCGTGCAGCCAGTTCAGGTTGGTCAGCTCCTCATCTTCCATGGCCCCCTCTTCTAGTCGGATGTCAGGCAGAGGAAAGTCGAGGTCATCATCTTCTTGAAGGGCCTTGGAGAAACCGCTGCCCCGGTAACACTGACTCAGTCCACGGGAGACACTAATTCCTGAGCTTTCTGGCTTCTTGCTGGGAGGCATGACTGGACCCATTTACGTGAAGGCTCCTAGTAAAGACATCACAAAGAAACGATGAGCTGACGACGCCCAAAACAGAGAGGCAGACCATGCCCCGCCGATGCTGTCGCCTCTACGGAACCCCCGCGACACAGGAACACCACCTTGTGACTCCCACACTGAGCAACACAACCCCACAATTCCACCAAGAGAGATATGTGGATGAGAAAAACCAGCCCACCATCCATCTGGCAAGGTGGCCCGATGCCCCTTAAATTAAGACAAGACTGATAACACGGCCAGGCACAATGGCTCACACCTGTAATCCCAGCACTTTGGGAGGCTGAAGCAGGAGATTGCTTAAGACCAGGAGACCACTTTTAAGCTATGTTAAATTTCATTGCAATTTTTTTTTTCTTCCAGAATGGAAGAAAAGCAAGTAACTTCAGGCACCGCACCAATACATGGGAACATAAGACAGGCCATTAACTGAAATTAGAACTGGTGAAAAAAGTCAGGAGAGCAACTGCCAGTTTCAAGACAGGAAGACAAATTCAACAAAACATGCCACAGAATTCTAGCCCTCTACCCCTACCCGCCACCCTCCCCATTTATATCAGTGACCTAGAACATGGAGTAAAATAACATCTGATGAGAAAAGAAAACAGGGAGGTGGTACATTTACAAATAGAATGACCCCTACAGACACAAAGCATGTTCAACCCTCCAGCACCCAATGTAACACAGAAAGAACAGTAAAGATAACCAAAAAGGTCTCCCACTCTCTGTAGTGCTAAAACAACATGCTCGGTTTAAGAGTGTTAGGTTTTAATTCCTCCCACAAACAACCAGTAAGAAAATCAAGCACCTTCTTAGAAAACGAATGAACAGTCTAGGCATGATGGTTCATGCCTATAATCTCAGCACTTTGGGAAGCTAGAGGTGGAAGGATTACTTGAGTCCAGGAGATTGAGACCAGGCTGAGCAACATGGCAAAACCCCATCTCTTCTAAAAATACAAAAATTAGCTGGGTAGGGTGGCATGTGCCTGTGGTCCCAGCTACTTGGGAGGCTGGGTAGGAGGACTGCTTGAACCCAGTAAGTTGAGGCTGCAGTGAGCTGTGACTGCACCACTGCATTCCAGCCTGAGTAACAGAGTGAGACCCTGTCTCAAACTTTTTAAAAAGAAAGAAAATGAATGAACCTATTTAAAAGCAAAGACATAGGCCAGGCATGGTAGCTCATGCCTGTAATCCCACCACTTTGGGAGGCCGAGGCAGGAGGATCCCTTGAGCTCAGAAGTTCGAGACCAGCCTGGCCTACATGGTGAAACCGCATCTCTACCAAAAAAATACAAAAATTCACTGGGTGTGGTGGTGTGTGCCTGTAGTCCCAGCTACACTTAGGAGGCTGAGGTGGGAGGATCACTTGAGCCAGGAGGTTGAGGCTCACTGCACTACAGTCCAGGCAACAGAGCGAGAGACCCTGTCTCAAAAAAATAAATAAAAAAGGCAAAGACATGACCCTTCTATGTCTCTTAAATGTCCATTAACACCACATCGAAAACAACTGCCACTTCTGGGGAAGCTCTATTAGGAAATTCTAGAAGGCATAATCCTGGGCATTAACCAACCAGCCAGGGGTGCCTGTGAATTACAGCACCTTCCTTCTTCCAACAGGTAGAACCTGCTAGATGCAAGGACTGAGGGGGAGTTGCTGTGAGATGCCCAACTCTTAAAGAGAGAAAACTTCACGCGGCATCGCAGTGCAAACCAGGCAGGATGCTCCAGACGCCTCGGGTTCACTCACAGCACGTATTTCCTTCTGTCAAATAAGGCGATTACTCTGACACATTTCAGAGAAAAAACAAGCTAGGATCTTTAGGCTTGAGGATACAACAGAGTCTGGTCCCATCCTACTTTTAACTTCTTTGTAAACGAAATAAAGCACCACTTTCTTTCTTCAGGTTTCCTCAGATCCCATCAGAAAATTTTCTGATGACCAAAATATGCACACAGTAGAGTCTAAAAGAGAACTACCCAGCTACTAAAGTCAACTTTAGCTCCAAATGAAAGTTTTATGTCTCCTGAGCTTCCAAACAGGAAAATTATATCATGGCTGACAGTAAAGTAATTTAATTGCACTGTTGCTATGACAACATGCTGCTCTCTTTCTTTTTAATTTGCTTATTTGTCAGTAGCTTCCCAGAGGAACTAACACAGTATTCTCCATGTTTCCTTTTGTTTTAAACAAACACTGCCAGCAATACGGTTTTAGAAGAAAAAAAAATGGCATTGTCAAGAAGAGAGGGTTATGGGAGTTCAGCACCCTTAGATCGTGTGCGCACTTTGTGCTGGGTCCCCGCGCCCTCCAACTGCTCATTGCATCCCTATGAATCCCGCATTTTATAGCAACAGAGTGAAGAGCTGCTGATCACTACAGTTCCACGTTAAAAAAAAAAAAAAAAACCACAGAAACAAACAAACAAAAAACAGTTCCCAGAAACCACAGCTGAGGAGTTTTCCATTATTATACTCTAACTACAGAATTCGCCAAATCTTTTTTTCCTCCTGTTTTAGCGGGGGAAAAAAAATCTGGATCATGTGAGTTGCAGTTAAGCAAACATTTTTAATCTGCTGCCAACAAGGCTGCTCCACCAGATACGCAAATAGTTATTCACTGGTGACCTCTTTACAACTTTTCTCTACACACACACTCTCTCTCTTTTGTTTTTTTTTAATGACTTGCTGTGTTTTGTTACCCTTTTTATTTTTTTAAAGGAGAAAATACGGCAGGAAAGCTGAGTTTGTCACCTAGTAATCAGAAAGTCTCCAAATAACTGACAAAGCCATTACTGGCCCAGCTCTGAACAGATGTTCGATGCGAACTTTTAAAAGTTAAGAAATCCTCGCAGAGCGGAGCAGTGCAGTCGCGAGTTTGGGGGGCCGGGTCACCCCCCGCCCAACTCCCAGCACGCGCGCGCGCGCGCGCGCACGCGCTTCACTCTTGTCTACTGTACTTGTCAAAAACATTTCAAGGGGACCTGCGGGAGCGGCGATTGGCTGCGCCCCGCGTCAATCAGCGGCGTTGCCGGGCAACGGGGGAAACTGCTCTTCTCCGCGTATACAGGGCAATTGGGAGCTCGCATACCTTCACTGCCGGTCAGATGTCATAAACCTTTTATTGGCCGCACCGCGGCGAGCCTCGAAAACAAATCAATAAAAGCCCGCCGTCCCCCAACTTATCCACGGCCCAAGGAGGGTTTCCAAGAGGGCCGGGATGAGGGGGGTCGGGCTTCGGGGGTCTCCGGAGACGTTCGTTGCCTGTGCCAAGTCTGCACAGTTTGGGGGGGGGGGCGGGGGGGATCTTTGTTAGGAGCCTGTTTCTCATCTTGGGGTCTCCTCTTGATCGGCACCCCCTCCCCGGCCGGAACGGCGGGGACCCTGTCCTCTGCAGACAATACCAACTCTGTTCCTTGCGGGTGTCTTCGGAAACCGAGGCACCGGGAAGCAGCACGCACGTCGAGGCAGGAAACTCTTCCGACCCGGCAACTTCCCGGCTCGGGGGCTCCCGGGACCCCCCCACCCGACCCTCCACGCAGGACCTGCGGGGTCCCTCGTCTTCCAAGAGCCGCGAGGTAGTCTCCAGCACCGTCTCGGACGCGCCCTCCGCCCCGGGTCCCCCCGAGCCCACGCGGGAGCCGGCGGGAGCGGGGCGCAAACTCACCTGGCCGGAGCGGGGCGCGGGGGCGCGGGGGCGCCGCTGCCCTTCAGCGGGAGCCGACAAACTTTCGCGGGCGCCCGGCGGGCATCGCTCGGTGGCCCCGCTAAGGACGCGCGGGCGCGGCGCGGCGAGTCCGGGGCGGCGGGCGGCGGGGGGCGGCCGCGGGCACGGGCGGCAGGGGCGCGGGGGTCGCGGCGCGGCATGGGACCTGCGGCGTCCGCCGGGCGCGCCGCGCGTCCTCCCGCCGGCCCCGCCGCTCTCCCCGCCCCGTCCCGCCTCCCGCTCGCCTCCGCCGCGGCGCGTCGGGCCGGGGCGCGCCGAGCGGCGAGAAATTGTTTCCACTGCAAACAAAAAAAGGCGACACATGACCAGGCAGGAGGAGGGGAAGCGCGGGGAGGGAGGAGGGCGGAGGGAGGGACGGAGCGGAGGGCGGAGGGAGCGGGAGAGAGGGAAAACGTGGGCCTGGCCGCCAGCGGCCTGGGGCGCGGGGCACGGACCCACCGGGGCGGCCCCTGCCCGCGCCCCCCGCGCCCCCTGAGTGCAGCCAGGACCGAGCCGCGCGGCCTCGCCTCCCGGGCCCCGCGGGGCGGGGGTGACCGGCGCGGGTCCCTCGACCCGGGGCGACCGCGACCGTGGGCGACGGGCAGGTGGGGCGGGCGGCGCGTGCCCTCTCCCCTCCCTGGGCTCCGGCCACACCGGCGGGCAGGCGCTGCGCTGCTGGCAACGTGTCGCGGGAACGCTCCTACCCATCTGCATGCCTTACATGGCTCGAAAGTAAAAATAAAAAGAATTACGATGCGGGCGAGGCTTGTGGGGGTGAGAAGAGGAGATTCCACTTCTCCCCAGTGCTGCGTCCTGGTAGGACCCCCAGGGCCCTCAGAGCCCTCTCCCAGTGCCCACCTCGTGCCCCGGAGGTAGGCACCGTGGAGTCCCACCCAGGTGGCCGCGTGTCTCCCGAGGGAGGGCAGGTGGCCATTACAGGGCAAGAGGCACGTCCTAAAGGCCACGCAGGTGGGGCCTCTCCAGTGGGTTGTGCGGAACGCGGCGACCGGCCTAGAGCGAAAACAGGTCTCATTTCCATTTCATTTGAGCTGTCAGGAACCAGAATGACAATTCTTAAGCCACCCAGCAAAATGGTGCAACCACCACTCTAAGCCTCTAGGCAGCTCCAAAGAATAGCACCCACTGCTAAAGCCACACCAACCAGCCGCCTTGGGAGAGGATGAGAGGAGAGAGTCCAACAGGACACCCTGGTGGTGACAAAAATAAAAATGTGATTGCACAGCTCTTCCAGGTAGCCAAATTGGTTGTTTCCTCTACAGAGGAAAAGCCCAGGGTACCCTTCCTGCCACCCACTCCTAAGCCGGTGGACAGGACATTGTGAGCTATCTGAAAGCTGCAGAAAAACCAGCCAGTGGACCTGGAGTCAAAGCTGTCTTGCATGCAGTACTTTCAAACCTAGCCAAAAGGAGGGGTGAAGGGAAACACCAGCTAGGCTTCCGAAAATTTTTTCTATCTCAAAAAATAAGGCCCTCTATCTGAGATTCATTCCCCCTACCAAAGGTTCAAGATGGCAGGTGGCAGGTCTTCAGCAAGGATGCACCTTTCAGACTCACCAGAGACCTTACTACTTCCAAGTATTGTGGCATCTTTCCATCCAGAGATAGGTGGGTGGTGGAAGCCCAGGAATGGCCTGAGGTCATCCAGCCCCACCCCTTTGATGACTGAGTACTTGATGTGACCTACCCAAAGTCACTAAGCAAAAGGTACTAGATGGCAGAGACAACTCAGATGATCTCTGAAGTTTCACACCAGAGATCCTCACTCAGAGTTAGAAGTGGTAACAAAGCCAGGACGAGACAATGTGTACCCTGCTCTCCTGAGGCTCTGCCTAATGCAGGTCTCACCTTCCATCAGGCATCAGTTGAGGGTGCTTATTCTCCACCAGAGAACTTTGTTCATGCCCTTGCTAGCCTGGAGAGAACGAAATCGCCCCCTTACATCTTTCCCTTCCATCCCCAGCTCCCAACACCGCCCCCACCCACCGCCCCATCCCATAACCACACTCAGACAATAGCCAGAAAACTCTTTATATTAAGCAGAGGTGGCACCTTATTTTTCACCTGCCCCAGTCCCCTCCTGCTTTCTCAGAGTTCAAAAAGAGGGGATGTGCACATGGAATATGTCTTTTTTTTTTTTTTTTTTTTTTAAAGAGACGGGGTCTCGATATGTTGCCCAGGCTGGAGTGCAGTGGCGATTCACGGGCGTGATACCACTACTGATCAACACGGGAGTTTTGACCTGCTCCGTTTCCAACCTGGACTGGTTCACCCGTCCTTAGGCAACCTGGTGGTCCCCTGCTCCCGGGAGGTCACCATATTGATGCCGAACTTAGTGCGGACACCCAATTGACATAGCACACTACAGCCCAGAACTCCTGAGCTCAAGCGATCCTCCCACCTCAGCCTCCTGAGTAGCTGGGACTACAGGCATGCGTCACCAAGCCCGGCTTTTTTTTTTTTTTTTTTTTTTTTTTTTTTTTTTTTTTGAGACACAGTTTCACTCTGTCACCCAGGCTGGAGTACAGTGGAGCATTCTCAGCTCACTACAACCTCCACGTCCAAGATTGAAGCAACTCTCCTGCCTCAGCCTCCCAAGGGATTACAGGTGTGCACCACCACACCTGGCTAATTTTTGTGTTTTTAGTAGAGACGGGATTTCACCATGTTGGCCAGGTTGGTCTCGAACTTCTGACCTCAGGTTATCTGCCTACCTCAGCTTCCCAAAGTGCTGGGATTACAGGCATGAGCCACTGCGCCCCGTCAGAGTATGTCATTCTATTTTTTTTTTTTTAAGGTGGGGTTTCACCATGATGGCCAGGCTGGTCTTGAACTCCTGACCTCAGGTGATCCACCCACCTCGGCCTCCCAAAGTGCTGGGATTACAGGCATGAGCCACAGTGCCAGGCCGAGTATGTCATACTTTTTTTTTTTTTTTTTTTTTGAGATGGAGTTTCGCTCTTGGTACCCCCAGGCTGGAGTGCAAAGGCGTGATCTCAGCTCACTGCAACCTCCGCCTCCTGGGTTCAGACAATTCTCCTGCCTCAGCCTCCTGAGGCACGTGTCACCATGCCCAGCTACTTTTTTTGTATTTTTAGTAGAGACAGGGTTTCACCATGTTGAACAGGATGGTCTCGATCTCTTGACCTCGTGATCCACCCGCCTCGGAGTGGATCTTAAACCTCTTAGCCTCCAGTGTCTGAACCAGTTATCTCAGGTGAACAAAAATGAAAAGACATAGATAGGCTTGGGCCTGAAGAAGCCATAAGCAGACAGTGGAGTAGGTGAAACAGCCTACTTTAATTGTCTTGCCTCTCTTTCCCTCTGTGTGTTTTTGCTTCTTGCATTCTCAAACATTTTTCTTAATTTCTCTCTCCCATTACAGTTGCAGCAAGAGATGTGAGAAGGTGTCACCCTGAAGAGGAAGTGGTAGACCAGCCCTGCTTGATGTGGACAGCAGGGGACACATGTCTGCCTGTCTGTCTGAAATGGGGGATCCAGACCTTTACTGAAAGCCAAAGCAGGGCTTTTTGTGGCCTTTTCCACCTTCTAAATACATAGAACCTCAGCTATGGGGCATGCTTCCTGACCTAGGGTGCAGGGACCAAATTCCTTTAGGAACAACCCCATTCGCAATTCCGTCATGAACTTTCAGAAAGGACCCTTGTGTCTTAGATCTTGAGAAGTCACAAGTAAACAAGCGGAATTGTCTAAACCATTATCTTATCTACACTGTTTTACCAACACATTTAACAGCAGAATCCTATATGTGCCCTAGAAATCACTTTGAGAAACACTTATTTCCTTACTGGGGACTAATGGGACCATTCTGCAGCCCCATCTGGGCATGGGCTGGAGAGCACATTAAGTATCTGGGAGCTGGAAGACCTCAATTCTAGGCTTATACCCCCATCAGCATGGGACCTCAGTTCCTCCTCCAAGGAGAATGCCCCTCCCTTGATGTTTTGTACATTGTTTTGCTAAATGTTTCCCTGGTCAAGGAGGTTAATTCCCCAGCTGGGCGCGGTGGCTCACACCTGTAATCCCAGCACTTTGGAAGGCCAAGGCAGGTGAATCATCTGAGGTCAGGAATTCAAGACCAGCCGACCGACATGGCGAAACCCCGTCTCTACTAAAAATACAAAAATTAGCTGGGCATGGTGGTGCACACCTGTAATCCCAGCTACTCGGGAGGCTGAGGCAGGAGAATCGTTTGAACCTGGGAGGTGCAGTTTGCAGTGAGCCAAGATCGTGCCATTGCACTCCAGCCTGAGCGACAGAGAGAGATTCCATGTCAAAAAATTTTTTAAGAAAAGAACATTAATCCCCCTACACACACACACAGTCACTGTCACTATTCGTTATCAGAGCAGCATGGCTATTTATGGAATAGTCAAGCACAAAACCCGATACACCCCACCCGCCTTGAGACAGGACAACTAAGTGAGAAGGTGCAGGCAGGAGGACCTGAGAGACTGTCCAAAATGGGAAGAGTCCCAGGCAGGCCTCGAAACACAGTCTCCTGGGGAGGGATCCTGCAAAGAGACTACAGTACAAAGGATACATGAGAGGAAATACTGGGAGCTGGGCAGGCACACACTGGGCTTCAGAGAAGCCTATGATTTTCCTGCTTCCCTCTATACCTCTGCTCCACTCCCCGCCCTGCAGGTTGGCTTCCTCTGCTCAATGATGGCCACACAGGGCTGCCAGCGCCAAGCCCTGAGGCCTTCGGACTTTTACCACCCATCACCTTCAGACTGCCTCAAATCTTCCATGACATAGTTCAACTTGTCAGGAAAATAATGTGATTGGTCTAGACTGAGTCACATGACTCCCCTCCATGCCCACCCCAATACCTCCTCTCTCTGGCTAACAGCTGAGACAAGGGACATGGTGTAACATCTGGGGAAGGGAGGAGAGGTGACTTTGGAAGCGGGCTATCTAATAAGGGTGGGTTGGTGTTTAACCTGTGGAAATGGGGAAGGGGCGTTCTTGACCTGAGCTGCTCACCCGGGGATGCCCATCAGAAGCATCCAGAAGCCACACCTAACCAACTAGAGTCTTCTAGGATGGCACCTGGGTATGTGCATTTTGAGAAAGCACACGGGATGATTCTGCTTACAAACTGCTCTTCCAGGAGAAATCGATGGCACAGTTTTATCAAACCTGACTTGATTATATTAGAAGAG